AACTCAGACAACGGCTGCTACATGTTGTTGCACCCGGGGTGGCGGGGGGGCGGTGCCCGGGTAAGGGTAACGCCTGGGCGGGGTGGGACACGTCGGGCGGGGTGCGCTGCTGCGATCGCCATAGTATGCGCGCCTCCCTCCTCCTCCTCCTCCTCCTCCTCCCTCCCTCCCTCCCTCCCTCCCTCCCTCCCCTCCCTCCCTCCCTCCCTCCCTCCCTCCCTCCCTCCCTCCCTCCCTCCCTCCCTCCCTCCCTCCCTCCCTCCTCCCTCCCTCCCTCCTCCCTCCCTCCCTCCCTCCCTCCCTCCCTCCTCCCTCCCTCCCTCCCCTCCCTCCCTCCCTCCCTCCCTCCCTCCCTCCCTCTCCCTCCCTCCCTCCCCTCCTCCTCCCTCCTCCCTCCTCCTCCTCCTCCTCCTCCTCTCCTCCTCCTCCTCCTCCTCCTCCTCCTTCCTCCTCCTCCTCCTCCTCCTCCTCCTCCTCCTCCTTCCTCCTCCTCCTCCTCCTCTCCTCCTCCTCCTCCTCCTCCTCCTCCTCCTCCTCCTCCTCCTCCTCCTCCTCTCCTCCTCCTCCTCCTCCTCCTCCTCCTCCTCCTCCCTCCCCCTCCCCCCTCCCCCCCCCCCCACCAGCAGCATGTGGGGGGGGGGGTCACGGCCACCCCGCAACGTAGGATCGTTACCGCTACCCAAAGCGAAGGGTGGGTTGGCCCGGTTAACGACCGTCACGCGCCGGAGGACGAAACGAACAACCTCCCTGCACCGATCCCCCAGACGCCCGACGTCGCCCCCACGTTATCGACCCATTCCCCCGGACCGGCTTGTCATCCTGAGCCGTTCTTTGACAGCCTCGGGGTCCGGTAAGGGAAGGGGCCCTATAGACACGTCGGTCGGAAGAAGTACGTAAAAGCATGAACTAGGAAGGCGGATAAGGTAGATTGGGTTCAGACCCTTTCAGAAACTCACAAGACACAGCAACAACATATATCGATTCTTGAAATAAAAAAGGCACTCGAAGTAGATTGGGATTTGGGAACCCATAAATACCGACTGTCAACGATCAGCGTGTAGAAGCAGAGCGTGACAACCTCCCGCCGTGCATTTTCCATGACTGGAAGGGGGTCTGGGAGCGTGACCCGATCCATGACGACCCTCCTCGCTTCCCCTTCGGTGGCAACTCTTGGGAACTTCCCATACCATCTGGTCGGCTCTTGCGTATCGACGCCAGTCGACGCTAGATCGACGCTAAATCGACACGAAATCGACGCCAGCCGGCGCTACATCGGCGCTACCTCATCGACTCCCAGACGCTAATCGACGCTAAAGACATCATTGCGAGGGTACACGACCCAGGGATCTGATGTCGTGATTTTTTCAATACGGGGTCCCCAGAAGTGTCGACCCACTCCCCAGGACCAGTTTTTCATCCTGGATCGTTTTTTGAAGGTCCCGGGGCCCGGCGAAGGCCGCTTGAGGCCGAACATCGAAACAAAAACAGAAAAAAAAAACTCCGTCTTGAGTTTTTCAATGCGGTGGAGGTCTGGGGAGGCTCCCATGATGTGCTGCCGAACTCCTCCTCGTCCACTCGCGGCCGAGAGGGCCGCCGGCAGCCGGCGGGGGAGCCGCCCGGGGATGGTCCTCCCCGTCGGGCGTCGCAGCCGCCAGCGCCGGCTGGCGCTCCGCGGCGCCACCCTGGGCGGCCTCCTGGGCGGGGTCTTTCCCTTCGCGCTTCTGCTTCGGGGCGGGGCGGGGGGGTCGCCAGAGCAACAGGGGGCTCGTTGTTCGCCATCCCCCTCCTTCTCCTCCTCCTCCTCCTCCTTCTCCTCCTCGTCCTCCTCCTCCTCCTCCCTCCTCCTCCTCCTCCTCCTCCTCCTCCTCCTCCTCCTCCTCCTCCTCCTCCTCCTCCTCCTCCTCCTCCTCCTCCTCCTCCTCCTCCTCCTCCTCCTCCTCCTCCTCCTCCTCCTCCTCCTCCTCCTCCTCCTCCTCCTGCTCCTCCTCCACCAGAACAACAAGGGCACAGCCACCGTGCAACTCGCAGTGTAAGGGCGCGGGGGCAAGGAGCTACTGAGGGCCTCTCTGGCGACGTCGCGCCTCGACCACGGGAGCGTGGCCCGACAGCCAGGCCCCCCCCTGAGCCCAGACGACGAGGAGGAGAGGGGCCGGGAGGAGGAGGAGGAGGAGGAGGAGGAGGATGAGGAGGAGGAGGAGGAGGGAGGAGGAGGAGGAGATGGAGGAGGAGGAGGAGGAGGAGGTGGAACGTGGCCGAAGACGTCCGGTCCTTACTGCACTACTCTTCCTCCCCAAGCGCCTCCACCATGACCTTGTCGAGGTGGGCGCGGGGCAGGAAATGCCTGTATCGTCACCTGGTGGGATAACGAGTGGCCAGCCGAATCGCAGTTATAATCTATGTCGCGCGAGCAGCAGAGAGGGGCAACGATGGCTGCCTCGATGCAACGCGGTACGAGTGGTATAACGCGACAGTGAACGCAAAGGAGCCTCCGCGGAGGCCGAGGGTGAACAGAGGATCAGAGGGCATAATGGAATAGAGCGACATGGACGCAACCCATTGGATGCGGACACACTCAAGGACATAGTGGGGGATGGCATCTGGGGCGTGGGGGGAGCCGAATACACAGGAGTGGGGCGGCCTCTGCATGCGCTGGCTTGTGATCCAGCAGACCAGCCAACTACGGTGCGCGATAAGGCTCCATGCCATCGGGGCAACATCCCATTGTGCTTGCAGCTCATCAGCGTTGCCTAACTCAAATCCAGGATCGGAGCGACTCCTCACCCATGTCCTGATCCGACACGCGAGGCTCCCACTAGCAAAGAATGCTCGGTCGAAGCTCCCCTGGAACACGCCCTGCCGCCTGGGGCGCCGGCGCTCAATCCTGGGGGCACCCGAGCGGAAAAGGCCAAGCGCCTCGACGCCACCTCTCCGCAGGGCAAGGGCGCATCTTCGAGCCGCACCCCTGGACCGAGCCACCTGCCGCCTGGCACGCGCAGGGGAGGGGGCAGAGGACGCGGGAACCCGAGAGAAGCACGCTCCAACGTCCAGGCGATCGAGGGAGATTCCCAAACATCGGGGGCGAGCTTATCACTATCCCGCCACGCGACGGGCCCCCTTTCCACAATCGCCCGACGCAACCTCGCGACCTGGACTTGCCGTGCGCCGAGGGCGATGAGAGCCGATCGCACGAGGGGGGCAGAACAAAGGGGCAGGGCACTTTTCAGCTGAAGACCACCCCATTCAGACGACTGCAGCCACTCTCCATGGCCCATGCTGCTGCTCGGAGCACACCAGAACCGCGCGATCAGATGCCTCTCGGAAACTGCGAGCCGCCTCGCGAGAGGGAAGGGCTGAGCCTTGTATCCCAACACAGGAAGCCCACGCTCAAGGTAACGGGATACATTATTCGAGAAGGACGCTCCACCTGCGCCAATGAGGCCACGCGCTCCTTGAGCTTGTCCATGGGAGGTCCCCATTGCTGCTGCAGGGTGCCGCCGGGGCCAAGGCGGACTCCAAGGTGCGGGAGATCGCTAACTATCTGAAACTCGCCCCAAGCCGACTCAGCTCTAGAGAGGACCCTCCGAACAGCCTCAGAATCAGAGGGATCAGAAAACGGAGCTCCGAGGGGAACGGCCATGCACTTAGACGCCTTCAGCATTAAATCTGCTAGCTTCGACTCAAGACGGAAGACCCGGGCAAGCGCCGCGCAGCCCCTCCTCCGCCAGATCACAACCCCCAGATCGTCGGGGCAAGCTCGGGTGCATCCACGTCGTTTGCATACGTTATTCTGAAACGCATTGTCGAGAAAAGCGTTCGAGGCCCGAACGGACAGGGATCCCAAGAGGGGGCGTCCCTGGAGGGCTCCTGGACGCATCCAGTAGATCATGCACAGGGCATGGCCAACTTCGCTGAAACCAGGGGTTGACAACATAAGACACTTCGATTGCGCGGATGAAGCCGCGCGGGAGCCTGCGCGCGCGCGCGCGTCGGCGCCCATTCCTGCCGCCCCGACGGGGAGGCCCGAACGTAGAAAACAATAAAAAGAAAAAAAAACAAACAAGGCGGGGGGAAGGGCGGCCTAGAGACGACGGCATTGCGACTGGCAAGACGAGCTGAGCTGTCGAGGTCAGCTATGCTATTGACAAAATATCGGCCAGCAATGACGCCCCTTTGACTAGCGGCCTCAAGCTTCTGCGGAGCTGGAGTGACAGCGCGGTCGACGGTGGCGCCGACAATATTGTTCGCCGCGCCCGCAAGGCCGAGCGGGCGAGGGTCGCGAGCAGCTCGCACCAGGCCCTCGAGGGACTCCGCTTCCCCAGCGATCGGCTCGGGGAGAAAGACAGCGATGGGGGGCAGAGAAGGAGAGGGGCACGGGGGGGCCTTGCAGCGTCCAGCACAAGACATCATATCAGAAATCGGCCCCTCGCCCACAACGCCAGGCCCCGAAGTGGAGCCCGTCGGGGCCAGGGGCGCTGTCAGGCGCCCCCCGAACGCGCCGCCCGAGGGATCTCTGAAACGGGGGCGGCAGCCCCCACTCGGCGGACCTGTGACCGATGCTAGGGACTTTCGGCGAGCGACAGGATTCGAAAGCTGGGCGCGTCGACTAGCCGCCTGCTTCCCACCGAGAACCCGAGCCCGACGCCCAGGATAGTTCACTTCCTCAGCGGCTTCGTTCCCAAGCTGATCGCGCCTCTTCGCGGCCTCCTGCCGCTGGAGGCCCGCGTGTAGATTGCTCAACTTAGCAGGGTCGAGGAAGACAGCGACGCCGCGATCGGGGACCTCGATTAATTCGCGGGTCCACGCGTGCTTAGCGCGGATGGCACGATCGAGACGGGCACCCTGACGGGCAACTGCACGGACGAGAGACCGACGTGCCATCGCTCCAGATTTGGACCGACGGGGCAGCATCAGAAGCTGGAGGTCTCAAACAGCGATGCCTGCTTGCTGACGGCACGAGACTGCCGTCTCAAGCTACTCAGGGGGAGCAAGAAATTCAACATTGACCTGCACCTCGCATGCTTGGACCATCTTAGGGCAGAAGGGGGGGGCGGAGTGCAAGTGGAGCGGGGGAGGGCGGGGACGATGATCCAATCCAGCTGGCGCAGGGCGCTCGGCAAGCGCGATGCTCACCAGTGCGTGGTCACTAATGCCTGCCTTGTACAACTCCTCAGGTTCCCCGAAAACGCGCGAGGAATGGAACCCTCGGCACTGCGGCCACGGAGGCGGGGCAAGGAGGCAGCGGTCTACATTCGCGCGAAAGCGCGTGCCCTGATGCCAGCACGTGGGGGGATCGCCAGCCAGCTCCGTGAGCATCAGAAAGGTCGACCGCCAAGCTCCATCCCAAGGGCGCCCGCCTCTCGCCTCGACCCTGCAAGTCCCAGAGTCGCGATCGCCGTCGCAAATATTGAGATCCCCCTGTAGCACGAGCCCAAAGTCGAGGGGCGCGCTCCGCACCGCCTCGACCTGAGACTTGCGGTCGCGATCCCGTCGGATCTCGTCAAGTCCCAGGTCGAAATTGTGGACATTACAATGCCAGAGACTGACGCCCGAGGAGGTGTTCCAAAATTCTAAAGCCAGAATCCCCCCCACAGACACCCGCATCGAGAAGCTCCGAGGCCTCGAGAGGGGCAGAAAGAGAGGAGGAAGGGACCAGCGTGGCTACACCGCCCGCCAGCGAGTCGCGCGAGCCCCCCTGTATAAGACGCAAAAGCGAAGTGCGGTAAACCCGCGGGCTGGGCAGCCTTGAACGGCAGGGGCCCCGCTGTGGGTCTCCTGAAGGGACAGCGCGTTAGAGGAGGAGGAGGAGGAGGAGGAGGAGGAGGAGGAGGAGGGCGAGGCCGCGAGATCGCTCAGTACCCTGAGGCGCCGAACACACGCATCAGGACGGTGGTGGCAGCGAGCGCAACAGTTCCACGTCCGAAATGTCGCCGGCGACGATCCGAATATAGCGTTACCCACTCCACTGAATCGGCACCCTGGAGAAGATGTGGTCAGCCGCGGAGGCCAGCTGCGCGCGCTCCAGGCCGAGGTCCGCCAGCGACGCCACGTACCTGCGGACCGTCGGTGGGTCACTCGGGTGCACCTCCACCTTCGCGATGGGCTGCCACTGCATGAGAAGCGTCCCCGCCTCCCTGTCCACAAAGACGTCCTTCTGCAATCGGTTCGAGAGGGAGGTCTTGAGCTGCTTGCAAGCCCGCTCCCTGGCAATGTCCTGCTTGGTTCTGTCGAGGCCCACGAAAATCTCCTCCGCGCGATCGCCAGTGATGACCGTCCGGAACCTCCGCCAGTTGCCAGGACCCCCGCGGAGGCATGAATGCGTATGGCGCACGCGCGCCTCCGCAGTGAGGCGCGTCTCGCCCCCTGCCAATGCCGAAGCGCAGCACGAAGTTCCTGGACAGCTGGGGGCCCTCGCCCTGCACTCGCACCCCAGCTCGCAGCCGCGCGCCGCGAGCCACGGCTGCAGCGCGTCCGCCAGATCGCTTACTGGGATGGCCTCCTTCGAGTTGACGGCGGAAATAGTGTGGACTTTGGGCCGATCCCAGTCAGCCGACCTGGCCACAGGAACCCGCGGCTCCGCACGCGCCAGGCCGAAGACCTTCTCCAATCGCTCCATCCTCTTAACCACGTCGTCATGGTTGCTCTCGTATGTGGCCACTTTCTCATCAGTAGCGGCCATCTGTGCCATGATCGCATCAAATATGGACGCCATCCTCTTCTCGATACCATTGAGCATGGGCTGGGCACTGCTTGCAATTGACCGCGAAAGGGCTGCTTCAATAGAGGCCACCACGCCTTTAGTAAACTCGCCATCTCCTTAAACTTGCTGAACTCATCAATCTGAACCTCACGCACGATCTGGACGATGGCAGGTCGCATCCAGGGGTCCGCTACACCTCCACCGCCGTTGACGGCACCATCCGCAGCACGATGGGGCACGGGAGGGGCGGGAAACGGCGGGGACTGGTCGATCTCCAACGCAGCGTCGGGTGTGGGGCAGCCGCCGACCTCGTCATCAGGGGAAGTGGCAGCGAAGTCCAGCTGCCTCAGGATGTTGTCGTCGATGTTGCTGCCCGCGGACGCCTGCCCCCCACCAGCCTCATTACGACGCCAAGAGTCGTCATTGCGATGACGAGCAGCAGCGCCACGGCGAGAGGAAGGGAGAGCCGACCTCGGCGGGGCACGGGAGACCGAGTCCACAGAAGAGTCGGAATCGTCCATCTTCTTAGACCTCCTCGGGGAAGAGAATACATCCTTGCCATCCTTCGTGGCCTTCTTCTCCTTCTTGCGGTCTGGCATCCGCCTTGACGGATGAAGGAACGGAAACTCCACAGTTTACCCTCGCCCGACAAGACGCTGGGAGGAGAGTCGCGACGCTCTGGCGCCACGATCCAGACCTGGGCGAACAGGCCGAGAAACGAAAGCCAGCCGCGGAATAGCGATATCCGTGCTCTGCCACGGGCAAAAAAACATCTTGAGCCAAAATGGCTACGGAGGAGGAGGAGGAGGAGGAGGAGGAGGAGGAGGCGGAGGAGGAGGAGGAGGAGGAGGAGGAGGAGGAGGAGGAGGGAGGAGGAGGAGGAGGAGGAGGAGGAGGAGGAGGAGGAGGAGGGAGGAGGAGGAGGAAAGGGGAAGGGAGCTGAACTGAAGGCTGCCCTGGCACCCGGCTCGGGGACTTCGCCATCCCGAGCTCGTCACCAGGCCGTTGTCTTGCTGGCCTGTGCTCGGCCTCTTTGGGTGCGGGGCCGACTGGCTTGGCAAAGAAGGGGGGAGCTGGAGAGGGGGAGCAACCGGACGAGCAGGAGGAGCAACCAGCAGACCCCCGGCGGGCTTCAGGGTGGCCCCCACGAGGGGCCCTCGCGGATTCGCATTTGGAGCCTCCCTCATCCTCTCATCTTGTTCCTCCCTCGTGATCTTCCTCCTCTCTCTTTCTTCTCTCCCCCATCTTCTCTCTTCTATAAGCGCGACATGCTGGGAATTCGCGACGCATACTGTTAAAGTGTACGCAGAAGCGTAGCTAAACAGAGCAGGCGCTCGTTTTAGTAGCGGAACCGGCATGCTCTCTTCGGATGGCAAGGACGCGCGTGTGGACAGGAGGCTTCCCTTTTGGAACGGCTCGGAGGACGCCATGCCCGAGAGTGCCAATGTCTGCTTCCCCGCAGCAAGAGGCGCAGCAGCGGAGGGCCCCAAGACCTCGGCAACCGAACGTCCAGGCCGCACTGTGATGCCATCCCTCTGAGCAAGCATGCGAATGATGTGGGCGAGTCCGTGTCGCCTGTGCTCGCCTCACCAAGTTGGGGGAATTCTCGGGCTGCTTCGCGACGGCGACGTCATCTCGTACGTCGCCGCCCCCGCGATGTCATCGGGGAAGCGCAGAATGCAGTCGCGCGTGGCCCCGTGGATCACGGGGACGCGAAGGGCGCGAAGCATCCCTGGGGATGCCTCAGGACACAGCGGGCGGTCGACCCATGATCATACAGTGGAGGCCCGACCACAAGAAACCTCCCACAAGAAACCCGACCCTGAGACCCCGGGACCTCCGTGGACTTCTGGCGCGGGAGAACGCCACGCCTTCCCACAGCAAAACCCACCCTGGAGGCGAGCAGGGTGTCTCTTGGCACAGGGCCTCTCCACTGCAAGAGCAGGGGTGCAGAACACGAGAGCCCGCGCGCCGACGGTCCGGGGCGCCGTGCAGAGAAGATGCCCGGACCAAGCGGCGCTCCAAGGTGGGTAGCCCCCACCGTGAAGTCCATACAGTTCGAGTGGGGGCTCGACTGCAGAATCGCTTTGCCCCAAAATTTATTTTTCTGGTCGACTCCACGGGCGATTCGTAGAACTATCGCAGATCTACGAATGGTTGACGTAGTTGTGTTGAAAAGTCGACGTGAAAATCAATTATCTGGCAAATAAAAAAGGATGCCCATGTGTATATAACAAGTATCTACCTGCATGCATGCATGTATGAATGTACGCGTGTATGCTTATGCATATGTATACGTACATGTGTTTGTCTTTGATTATGTGCATGTACTTGTATATGCATATACGTATATACACATGTACAGGTATGTGTATATGTAGGTATGCATGCATGCATCTATGTTTGTATGCATGCATGCATATATGTGTATGTGCATGTATTCTATATTTTATGTATGTATATCTGTATGTATATACGTACATTTGAATATATGTATGCATGCATGCATGCATGCATGCATGCATGCATGTATGTACACATGTATGTTTGTATGCATGCATGTACAGATGTAAGCACGTATGCACGTACGTAAGTCACTACGCATGTAGACAGTTGGATGCATGGATGTACAGAAACATGTATGCGATCATGCGCGTATGCAAGTATGTACGCAGGTGTTTATGCATGTATGGATGTATGGTGTATGTATGCATATGTGTATGCATGTATGTGTGTATGCATGCGTGTATGTATATACGTATGGTTGTACGTGTATGTTTGTATGCATGGAGGTAAGCTTGTTGGTAGGTCGGTAGGTCGGTAGGTCAGTAGGTCGGTAGGTCGGTAGGTCGGTAGGTCGGTAGGTCGGTAGGTCGGTAGGTCGGTAGGTCGGTAGGTAGGTAGGTAGGTAGGTAGGTAGGCAGGTAGGTAGGTAGGTAGGTAGGTAGGTAGGTATATAGGTAGGTAGGTAGGTAGGTAGAAATGTATATGTATATGTATGTTTATAAGTATGCAAACACACATCTATATATACATATATATATATACATGTAAATGTGTACATAGATGTCGGAGGTGACGGATTGCAGTGGAACGGAGAGCCCCCCCACCGGGAAGTCGGTTTCGGTTTCGTGTTCGTGTCGTGCGTGCGGGCGAGGCGAAGCTGCGCGGGCGCGCGAGGGGAATGATGCCGCCGTGACTCGGGGCTGTGTGGCCGGTTGTCCATCCCCCCCCCCGCGCGCGGTTGCCAGGGGTGTCCCGTCGGTGGCGCGGCGGTGTCCCGTCGGTGGCGCGGTGGTGTCTCGTCGGTGGCGCGGGGTGTCCCGTCAGTAGCACGGCGAGCCCTACGAGCTTCACGAGCCGTACGAGGCCTACGAGCCCTATGAGCCCAATTGCCCCTGTGAGCACAATGAGCTCACTGAGGTCGTAGGTGGAGCTCCCCGTGGAGGGCGAGCAGCGTCAGGCGTGCGCCGAAATGAGCGTGGGAAAGCCGTGCGAAGTTGCCCATGAGCGCAGCTCTTCACGCTGCCACAGAGTCAGGACATTCGGAACGAACACTGATGAGTCGGCTCCGCGTTTGGCCAAATTCCTGTTTCTCGTCCTCGTCCACGTCCTCGTCCCCTTCTTCATCTCCCTTCTCCCCCCCATCTCTCTCCCTCCGCCGCCCCCTGCCTTTTTCTGCTTCGCACCCTCGCTTTTCCTGCGCCCTCCTCCTTCTTCCGCGCATGCTCCCCAACCTGCTGCTTCTGGTCCCCCTGCTTTTCACGACTGCTCACCCTCTTACGTTCTCTGACCCTCCATTCGCCACCTCCCTCGTACGTGTCTGTCTCGAGCCCTACGGGCCATATATGCCCTGCGGGTTATGAGTCCTAAGAGCCCCAGGAGCCCTATGGGCTCCAAGAGCCCCAAGACTTAAAGGAACCCAAAGAGCCCTATGAGCCCTATGGGCCCGACGAACCGGATGACCTCTCTGAGCCTTGTGAGGCCTACGAGCCCTATGGGCCTTATGAGCCCTATTACCCTATGAACATCACGAGCCCTATGAGCCCTACAGGCTCCACGAGACGATGACCTCAAGGAGCCCCAGGAGCCCTATGAGCTCCATGAGTCCTATTAGGTTTATGACCCCATGACCCTGTCTGAGCCCACTGAGTCCTATGAGCCCTTGCCCCGTGCGCCCCGTGAGACCCACCACCCCGATGAGCCCCATGAGCCTTATGAGCCCTACGAGTCTTACGATCCCAACGAGCCGGACTGGCTGGATCACCTTTCGTCCCAATTAGGGATCCGAGCCTCTGAGCCCCAATGACGGCGGAGAGACCTCTGAGACCTCTGCGCCGCAAGAGCCCATGGATGCTATCAGCTCTGTGTGCCCCATGGGCTCCATAGCCGAAACGCACCACGGCAGCGACGACTACCCATCCCGCCGCGCCTCTCTGGCACCATGCGACCAAGACTTTAAACGCGAAGCGACGCGAGGTTAAATGTGGTGTGCACATGTGTAGATGTACGTGTGTATATGTATGTGTATATACACATATGTGTATCGGAAGTGAGGGGGCAAGATCGCAATGAAACGGGGAGCCCCAAACCGGGAAGTCGGTTTCGATTTCGTGTTCGTGCCGTGCGTGCGAGGCGAAGCTGCGTGGGCGGGCGAGAAGAATGAACCCTCCTCTGGCTAGGGCGCCGCCGGGCAAAAAGACCGCCCCCCCCCCCCGGATTGTCTGGCGGTGGCCGGAGGTGTCCCGCGGGTGTCCCGCCAGTGTCCCGTAGTGAGATTGATAGTGAGATCGATAGTGTGACTAATACTGAGATCGATAGTGGGACCGATCGTGAGGTCCATAGTGAGATCGATAGTGAGATCGATCGTGAGATGGAGATTCAGATCGATAGTGAGACCGATCGTAAGATTGGTAGTGAGATCGATGGTGAGACCGATAGTGAGATCGATCGTGAGATCGATTCAGTGAGACGCTGGTTCCTCCCCCCGAGTATCCTTGTCACCCGAAGGGTGGTCGTATAGGTGTGTGTATATTTATATACACGTATATACATATATGTAGTTATACATATACATATGAATTATGATTAAATAACAAATCAATGAATCAAAATATAAATACATGAATCCATACATACATACATAAAATACAAAAATATTTAGGTTGGATAACCCCTGCCAGGGCTTGCTGCGGTATTCTGCCGAGGAAGCTGAATTGATCAGGTAGGGGCGAAGCGAGCGCCTGCTCTGGCTCCCCTGCCTCTCTCGACCCCACGGCGACTCGCCCTGCCAGACCAGCACCCGGACTGAGCGAGCGGTGCGATGGCTACTTCGGCGCGGGAGGACGGCGATGGCGACACGTGTCGGGCTCCGGAGACCCTGCACCCAAAAACGCTGCCATCTCCTGAGATCTCTTGGCGGCGCATCTCTTGCTTCCGCCGCCGTCCGCCGGCGGAGGCGGCCTCGCCTCTACTTCCGTAAGCTTCCGCCGACCTTCCGCCGCTTCTTCCGCCGAGGAAGAGATGGCGACTCCTTCGACCCTCACAGGCAAGGCCAGTCTTGGAACGCCTCACATGGCGACTGTGGAAGATTCGGACGTCTCGGCTGGACGAGTCGACTCATCGGTGCACCGACAGAAGTTTCGGATGTGTGCCCGACCAAGTCGATCGTGGGTTGCTACTGCATCCTCGGTCGGTCGTGGTGGACTTCTGACACAATTCGTATGACGGTGCCCTTCTCCCTTTCCCCCCCCTCCTCGTTCTCCTCTTCTTGCTCCTGGGATGCCCAGAATCTGACGCGCGCGAAAAGCAGCAAGCGAGCGCTGCGGGAACAACTCCGGGACGAGGGCGCCGAGCGAGCAGATCCTACACCCTGCTCCTTTCTGAGCGTCGCTTGACCGATCCCTATCCCCACTGGCGTCGCCTGGGCCCCACTTTCCGATTTACCCCCCTAGATGGAGACACAGGCTGTTCCCTTCGAGTCTGGAGGGGCACATTCCTCAACTGGAACGGCGGGATGGTGAGGATCGGGGTGGGGATGAGGGATCGGTCATCGGGGAGACGTAAGACTCGGGTTCGGGGGACTCGGTTTGGCGTGGCGGGGCCATCATAAAAATGACGAGACCAAATCTGAAATTTCACGCGAGCTTCTGCTGCAAGCACCCCCCGAAAACAGGTGTCACAATCCAGGATGTGCTCGTCAAGAAACGTCGGCTAACCCGAGTCCCGGCGTGCTCGAGTCTTACGTTCCCCCAAGGTTACAACGGCACTGGCTCTCGCCCCCGAGGGCAGCCGTCGTGCCCCCGGACCTCCTTGGGAAGTGCGCGGGCCAACGGCCGCGCGCAGAAGCAGCAGCAGGCGAGCGCTGCGGGAGAGCAACTCCGGGATGACGGAGCCGAGCGAGCAGACCCTATACACCCTACAGGGCAGTTTTTTTTTTTTGTTTTTTTTTTTTTATACGTAGGATTTTCAAAAATATGGGATTTTAATACATGATTGAATTCATGAATAAATTCATGCATGAACTCATCGTTGCTTTTGATACTCAATCCCTGGTATTTCATACATGATCCGCACGCGGAGCATGTCTTAAAAGCGGCACTGTATGCTCCTCTCGCCCCCGAGGGCCGAGATCGTACCTCAAGGGGCCCAAGGACACACAAATAAATACACACAAATACAACGATCCCCCATATTTTCCCATATTTTAGGGTTTTTTGTCTTTCCGCCCATATCTTCCCATGTTTTCCTATAGTTTCTTGGGATCGACGATTAATTGTGTCTGTGTGATTTTTTCGGCCACGCGCAGAGGGGGGTAGGAGGAGGGGGGAAGGCTTCTTAGAAGCACCCCTGCTTCTTAGAAGGCGCTGGCCTTCTCTATAGACGTAAGGCCGGGACCTTCTAAGCAGCAGGGGTGCTTCTAAGAAGCCTTCCCCCCTCCCCCTACCCCCCTCTGCGCGTTGCCGAGCAGAGCAGCCCGGTCCTCGAGCTCGGAGGTCGCCGGCTGTGCAGCCGGGGCCGGCACCGCGGGCGCCGGCGTCGGCGCCGGCGCCTCCTGCAGAGGGCCGCGGGCGCCCCACGCGCCTGTCCCTCCTCTTCCTCCCTCTTCCACTCCTCCCCCTCCTCTCCCTCCTCCCCCTCCTCCTCCTCGTCCTCCTCCTCCTCCTCCTCCTCCTCCTCCTCCTCCTCCCTCCTCACCCTTCTCCTCCTCCTCCTCCTCCTCCTCCTCCTCATTCACCTCCTCCTCCTCCTCTTCCTCCTCCTCCTCCTCCTCCTCCTCATCATCATCAACACCATCATCATCGTCACCACCATCACCACCATCAGCATCATCAACATCAGCATCAGCATCAGCATCAGCATCAGCATCAGCATCAGCATCAGCATCAGCATCACCATCACCATCACCATCACCATCACCATCATCATCATCATCATCATCATCATCATCATCATCATCATCATCATCATCATCATCATCATCATCATAATCATCAGCACCATCATCATCATCAGCATCTCATCACAATCCTCACCATCATCAACATCAGCATCGTCATCATCATCATCACCATTATCATCATCCCCTCCCCCTCCTCCCCTTCTTCCTCCTCCTCCTCCTCCTCCCCCTCCTTCTCCTCCTCTTCCTCCTCATCCCCCTCCTCCTCCTCCTCCTCGTCCTCCTCATCCTCCTCCTTCTCCTGCTAATCCTCCTGCTGCACACATATCCGGCGATATGAGGCTTTCAACCACCGGGTCTTGCCTCGATCTGGTCCCTCGAGGGTCCTGGCCAGGCCCCCTGGGACCATCAATAACATATCCAGGACGAGAAAAATATCCCCCGTGAAGCGGTCGGGATAGCTGGGACCGCGGATTGAAATACCGTGTGACGTACCCAACCCATTTGCATCAAGTGACAAGAGGAGATGGCCCGAACTTGCCAGGACAATGACAGTGCAGGCGCCGTTATGCTGTGAAAGCTACATGGGATGCGTTCACGTGGCACGACTTATAGGACAACAACAGAAGGACGAGAAGCGACGGCCCAGACTTGAGGAGGACATGCGGGCGGGAACGAAGGGCAGGAGAAGGACGCGTAGGGGGGCCGACCACTCAGCGCGGCAGCAGCATGGGGGGGGGCAGAAGAACGACGACGAAAAGGGCGGGAGGAGGAGACCGAAGAGTGTTGTTTTTGTCGGTCGTGCGCTAACGAAGCAGCGCTGCCTGTGCCATGTCGCGACGGCGCTCGACAAAATGGTTAAACCTGCGTGCACGTTGTGCAAGAAGCGAGCGAGGCCTAGATCTCGCCCGCCAACTTCCATGCTTCCTTCCTGCTCTGTTCAGTGCGGGAGCTAAACGCTCGACGGCACGCCGCCAGGTCTGTGGGCGGCCCGCGACAGCGCCCTGCTGGACCCCCAGCAGCCTCGAAAGCGGCGATCGCAGCCCCCCAAGGATTGCGAGGTCTAATCTGACTCTGCGTGGGAAGTCACTCCGCTTGACCCCCTAGCAGCCCTCGGAAGTGGCGAAAGTTTCGCATATCGAAGCTTCACAGGGATGGCGAGGTCTAATCTGGGTCTGCGTGGACCCCCTAGCAGCCCTCGGAAGTGGCGACAGTTTCGCATGTCGAAGCCCCACAGGGATGGCGAGGTCTAATCTGAGTCTGCGTGGGAAGCCGCTCCACTGGACCCCCCGGCAGCTCTCGAAAGTGGCGACAGTTTTGCAGATCGCAGCCCCACAGGGATGGCGAGGTCTAATCTGACTCTGCGTGGGACGTCACTCCGCTGGACCTCACAGCTGCCCTCGAAAGTGGCAACAGTTTCGCAGATCGGCAGCCCCCCAGGGATGACGAGGTCTGCTTTGAGTCCGCGTAGAACGTCACTCCGCTGGACCCCCCAGCAGCCCTCGAACGTGGCGACAGTTTCGCAGGTCGCAGCCCCACAGGGATGGCGAGGTCTGCTTTGAGTCCGCGTAGGACGTCACTTCGCTGGACCCCCCAGCAGCCCTCGAAAGTGGCAACAGTTTCGCAGATCACGGCCCCACAGGGATGGCGAGGTCTAATCTGAGTCCGCGTGGGACGTCGCTCCGCTGGACCCCCCAACAGCCCTCGACAGTGGCGACCGTTTCGCAGATCGGCAGCCCCCCAGGGATGGCGAAGTCTAATTTGAGTCCGCGTAGAACGTCACTCCGCTGGACCCCCAGCAGCCCTTGAACGTGGCGACAGTTTCGCAGGTCGCAGCCCCACAAGGATGGCGAGGTCTACTTTGAGTCCGCGTAGGACGTCACTTCGCTGGACCCTCCAGCAGCCCTCGAAAGTGGCGACAGTTTCGCAGATCACAGCCCCGCAGGGATGGCGAGGTCTAATCTGAGTCCGCGTGGGACGTCGCTCCGCTGGACCCCCCAGCAGCCCTCGACAGCGGCGACCGTTTCGCAGATCGCAGCCCCCCAGAGATGGCAAGGTCTAATTTGAATACACGTAGGACGCCACTCCGCTGGACCCCCCAGCAGCCCTCGAAAGTGGCGACCGTTTCGCAGATCGCAGCCCCACCAGGGATGGCCAGACAGGAGGCAAGCTGGCACGCAGGAAGGAGTGAGGTGAGAGGCAGGAGAGAAGGGGAGAGGGGGCGGGAGGGCGTACGACCGCAGTGCATTATTCAAAACGAGAACCCAAGGAAAGGGAGGGTTGGGACAAAAAGGGATCGGCAGATGTCAGCGCCATCCTCCTCCATCATCCTCCTCTCCTGCTGAATTTCCTGCGCGTGTTGATCTCCTGGACGGCTAAGAATCACTCTGGCTGATTAGCCTGACCCTCCCCCCTCTATCTCTCCTCAAGCCATAGACTGGCCTGGCTCCACAGGCCCTGCGCGACAGGCGGTGGCCTTGCAAAGTCGATTACACGACATCTTTGGCGGAGGGAGCGCCAGCGACGGAACAGGTGGCATCAACTCCGTCCAGACTCATTCGCAAGCATGAGGACGACACGGCCGCAACACATTGTTTGTGCTAAAGTCGCAGACTGGGAAAGGGATCCTGACCCATCAGCCCAGAGAGCAACTGATTATTCGTAGGAGGACGAAGAAGAGGACATCGCCCACGATGCTATGATGACCCAGTTTGAAGACCCCATAGCAGACGATGTGGGTCAAAAGGACTTGACACGTCAGCCCAACAGTGAAAACTTACGAGTGACAGCCATCTGCCAGGAGGTCGGCTTCGACTAATCAGCCCAGAGACAACTGTCCATTCCGAACTCACATCAGCTAGCCTCAGGACTCTACGATATAGTCAGGACGCAACAGAGAAACAATACATGCTATAATATGGATGACCTCATCATGCCTTCATGGGGTATAGACCGACAAGCATGTGACAGCCGTGTGACAGCCGTGGCACCCGGTCACCATCCTAGACAACCCCAAGGTGGACCCCCAACGAGGATACCAAACGGTCAATGGGAGCTCCGAGTATGCCTCTTCCTCTCCAGATCCACCACTCTCGCCTCCTCCTCCTCCTCCTCCTCCTCCTCCTCCTCCTCCTCCTCCTCCTCCTCCTCCTCCTCCTCCTCCGTCTCCTCGACCTCCCCTGTTCCCGGACGTGCCTACTGCCGAACATGCACAAGCGAACTTGGAAACCTCCCAAGAGACAGCCACGATAAGCCCAGAGGCGCTCCAGAACGCACCGCTGGCAGGGCGAAAGAGGAGGAGGAGCAGACGAGGTCAGTCAACCCACAGACAAGCTGCTCATCAGGGCCTCCTAAACGTAAACGTAAACAATGATACACCAGGGCAGCGGCCCCGCCCCGAGCAG